GAGCATAAGCTTTCGTGGGCTACAACCCACTTCTTCGGATGCAGAAGTGGGTTGTAGCCCACGAAAGCTTATGCTCTAATAAATTTGTTAGTCTCTAAGGTGCCACAAGTACTCCTGTTCTTTATACTTTCTAGTTTTCCCCAGCTTATTTATGGCTCTCAAATAAACAACTACTCTCCTATTCTCTATACCTATATGTATATGTCCTGCTCTCTCTTTAGCATTACTAGTGAAAGGCAATGTGGATGAAGCAACATCAGCAGTGTAAAAAACACACACAAGAGCATGTGAAACCATCCTGTGAACAGCTGAAATAGAGACAACCCAGTGCTAACATTTCAAACTCATATCAATACTAGCAACAGAATCTCAACAGGTGTGGAGTTTGATAGTGAGTAGTCAAAGCCACCGAAGACCTTCACAACCCACTGTAAGCAAGGTCTGAATGAAGTCTCCCCTGACAGCTAGTGATGAGCTGGGGGGAAAGGCTTCAGGATTAGACTGTATTTACATGAACACACCTACTCTATCTAGGTATCTTGCAGAAGAGCTGTGTTGCCCAAATGATCAATTTTGGCTGGTGTTGGGTTATAAAACACTTCAGTATTGAATGCAGGGGTAATGAAATGTTATCCTTATTGTATGAGTAAAGGGCAACAGAACTGTACTTGGCCTAGCCTGATTGAAGGGATCACCCTCAACTGAACTGAACTGGCTAAGCAGGGGATTTGGATGCCAGAGCTGGGTGGAAGAGAGTAGTGTAGACATGCTTTATCACTGGGGAGAGCTCTCCTGGTGATTAAAAAAAAACAAACCACCACCCCTAATGAGGGGTGTTAGCTTTATCACCAGGAGCATAGCTTCTGGAAATAAAGCACTGTCTATACTGGTGCTTTTCAGTGCTAAAACTTTTGTTGCTCAGGGGGGTGTTTTTTCACACCCCTGAATAACAAAAGTTTTAGTGCTGAAAGTGGCACTATAGACACAGCCTAAGAGTTATAGGCATGACTTGACCTGTTCCTCTTCCCTGTTTAAAGACAGAGCTGATCAGGCCCCATTCAGTCTTTTAAGTGACCACTAGAGCTGAAATCACTGATAATCAGGTCTAAGTGCTTAGACCTGCTGAGGGACAGGGTTTTGGGGGGGGGGGGGGGGGAGACTACCCAGCCTGCATGAGAATAACAGAGCTGGGTGGAACCTCAAGAGACCAACTCACAGAGGTCCCAGTAGAGAGGCAGGTGAGGTGGTAGCAGAAGTAACCATTGGTTACTTGGCACAAGGCCATTGGTGACTTGAGCAGATGATGGCACAATGGAGTGAATGGTGGCATGAATGACAGCATGCTGAATGATGGCACAGCTCCACACAGAGTGAATGGAGACAACTGTAAGCCAGTTGAGGTGGCACTGCTCAATGTTTCTTCCCCTGCCCCCTTCTGGGTGGGAGATAAACTCATGTAAATGCACCTCTCAACTCTGTGTCTCTGCTGACCAAGGAGAGCTGTGAGTGGCATGTGGTGGAGGGAGAGGGGAGTGGCATGTTAAAGGGACATTTGTTAGACTTAAACACTACAAGGTGAGAAAGGGAGGCAAAGGACACTGCTCAATGGTCTCTGGGACAGGAGTGTTGCTGATGGTCAGATGTGCTCGAATCATGGTTGTGGCGTTTTCCAAAATTAATGCCAGGCTCCTTTCCTCTTCTTACTAAATGTTTTCTCTGCTCTACAGAGACTCAGTGATTGCCAGGAGGAAGTACTGCCTCTTAGAGGCGGCTGGGGTGGTGCTTAATTTCCCCAGATTACTGGGTGAGGACTCAGGCCAGTTCTGTGTTGTACTGTTAAGAAGGAGCCCTGGATATTGAGCCCGGCCCTTTTTGCTGCCAGCTCCACCTGGCAAAAGGATCACACCGTTGTCTCCACCCCGCCCCACCACGAGCTCTTCTGCTTGGGGGAAGAGACCCGCTAGTGTCTTCAAGGGCCAACCAGCAAAGCCCCTGCCCCTTTCCCCTCCAGGGCGGGCGGGCGGCCTGCCTCGCTTCCTGCTCCCCCCGCTTCCCGGGGTTCTGCGGCCTTCCTCGCTGCCCGCGGGGCTCTGTGCTTCCCAGCAGGCTCGGTTCCCCCCATTCTCTGCCTTTCTCAACACGCCTGTCCTCCCGACCCCTCCCGCAGGGGCTCCCCCGCCTGCACTCACACGCTGCATGGGGAGGGGCACAGCTGGCCTGCTACTGGTAGCAAATTACATCAGAGAGCAGTTTTTGCAATCCCTTACATACGGGTAACTGCTGCAGGAGTTTCTCGCACTGCGCCCGCCGGCGCTGGGTAATGCCGCAGCAGGCGCTTTAGAAGTTCCGGTCGGACGGTGTCCCTGAGAGCTCTGCCCCCAAGTCCCAGCGAGCTACAAGCGCGAACCACAAACTGCCCTGATTCGAATTCGCATCCTGAGCGCCCAATGACAGGACGGAGGGTGGGGCCGCGGCCACGAAATCCCCGCCCTGTCAGCATACTGACCAATGACAGCTCCAGCTGGGTTTGAAAAAAAGTGCGCGCGGCTGGTGGGCGGGGTCTTTCTCTGGCGGCAGGGCCCGCGCGGGGAGTGGAGAGACGGATATCCGGCGCGCTCGGGGCGTAGCCTATCCCGAAGGGGCGGATCCTGGGTGGGGCCTCCCGCTTTCTCTTTCCCTGACCCGCATTGATACCGGAGAACGGCATGGGGGCGGGGCTGGGCCCCGCCCCCGCCCCCGCCCCAACCCCTCTGTCTCTGCCCCTGGCCCCGGGACCGCGACCTGGGCTCATTTGGACCCGGTCGGCTCGCGGGCGCGGTGGTGGTTGGTGGCAGCTCGGCTCCCTGGGGACTCGCACCGCAGCGCGGAGGGGCAGGAATGAAAGTGGGCGGTGAGCGTCCTCCACGCCCCTGGGCGGGTTGGGGCCTCTATGGGGAGTTGAGGGTCCCTCTGCGGTGGGGGGGGGGTCCTCTGTGGTGAGTGTAGGAGGATGGGGCCCTGTGGGGCGAGGGGTCCTTCTGGGGAGTGGGGTTCCTCTGCGGTGGGTGGGTCCTGCAGGAGCTGGGTTGCCAGCCAGTGGTTAGGGGGCTCCAGCCCCAGTTTTGGCAGAACTCAATGCTCCTCATGTGGGGTTTGGGGAGGATTAAGGCCAGGGCGGGGGCTTTGCCGGCTCGGTTGTCTTGTTTCTGGCGGGGGTAGTGGGGGTTCCCTGGGACGGGTGATGCTCCCTCTCTGCTGGATGATCCTCTAAGCCTCAGATGCTAAATTTTCAGACTTGACACATGAGGGCTGTGAAATGTCTGAAATACCCCTGCCAGGATCCTACCAACTTCCTCCCCCCACATCAGATGGGCTTAAACCCCTGCAACCTCTCCTTCCATTTTCCTCAGACGGTATCTGGCAGTGGCACCTCCTAATTTTCCTTTTTACTTCTCCCCTGTGATCAGAGGGTGTGTTTTAGATTTTATTTTTAAATTCCAAAGAGAGGGAGCCCCACTGGTTTAGGCGGGTGGATTTAAAAATCAACGGAGCCTATAGTGGGACAGGACCTGCCTGCAGGGGGAGGGGACTCACTCGGGGCTCCTGTATGGGCACCCAGGACATTAGAAAAGAGCTACCAGTCTTATCTTGGCCACTTCGAGTTTCTCATCGACCAGAGCGTTTCACATAAATTATAAAGTAAGGTTATAATTATTAAATGGAGGAGAGGCTGCAGGCTTTTCAAGGAACAGATGAGATTTTTGCTTCAGAAAGGCAGGGTGTTTGAATGAATGAAAGAGATTTTAATAAAAATACTTAAAAAAAATAATTAAAAATGAGAGATTTTTGATATTTCAGGCTGGTCACAGGACTAGAAATCAGACTACAGGATTGCAGTTTACTGCTTTAAATAGAAGTCTCCTTTTATCAAGGTTTGATTTTTGCCATGACAGTAAAATCTAAACTTGAAATATGACATCTAAGCAATCCCCCACTCTTTCATGTCCAAATATCATTCTAGTTGTTTAATGTAATAATAGCTTACATTTCTGGAGTGCCTTTTATCATGCAGGATACCAAAATGCTTTACAAACTGCAATATTCATTGCTAATTTAATATGGCTTTCTCTGGGTTGAGGATAGCAGCTAACTGGCACATTTATGGAGGGAAGAGAGAGCATGTATGGTGGCCTAAGGCATGGGGGCAAGCTCCCCTACTTTTACAAAAGTACTATAAGGACTCGTATGTTCAGAGCAGACAAAACTTGCTTTTTTATGGTCTGTGCATAGTAAAATGCTTGGCACTCTGCCTATTTAATTCATCTAATGAATTATTTTTTGCCAAAAACTATAAATGGGTTTTTGGCAAAACGATAAATGATTTTTTAAATTACACTTTCTGCATTAATGGGACAGAATTTGAATACTTCGCCCAAGTTTAATATCTTCTGGTTCTATGGGGTACGTAACTTGCTTCTAAAATACACTATCTTTGCTTGCCAAATGTACTTTGGAATGCTTCAGTTACTTAATCGGTACCTGAATTTAAAATATTAGAAATGCAGCTTGTGTACACAATGTAGATATGATTGTAGTATATGGGGTCATTTTAAAGTATAGCCATCCTAATATAAATTCTGGGCTACTAGAGCTGTACTGTCCGCCATCTAGTCTTGCTTCAATTTCCTGGGCTGTTCAGTCAGTTTTGGTTCTGAATACAGGCTTAATTGGTATGCCAGTCTAGAGATGCAATGCCTCTTACATTGCAGTAGTTCTCTTGCTGAAATCGGAGGTGGGGGAAAGGAACACCTATGAGAATAATAGTCTGGTGATTTGTGCATGTCAAAATTGCCCTTAATTACATGGATATAGTCTTTTAGTCAAAGGTAACTAATAGGTAAGCCAAGGGCTATCAGGGGAGAATGGGGCATTGAGTTAGACTAGTAGCTCATTTCATTGTTGATCCTGGAAACTCCAAAGAGTTAATAGGATACATATTCATTTTGGCATAAAAGGATATTCTAGGTGGCCCATTGCTTTTTTTTGCCTAGACAGATACCTATAAATTTGCACTGGGAAATACCCAGTTGTGGGGACTGTCTTTAGCTTAGCTGGTGCCCGTGGGCCTATAATTAAAAATGATCAAGTCCCTGCAGCTGCTTGGCTTGTTTTCTTTATTTAATTTCACGTATGATTTGTTTGTGGTTTGGTACACTTGTTATGTTACCTCTCTGACTTTTATTATTCTGTAAATTTACACTGATTTTAAAACATTTTTTAATACCATGGATTGGAAATTAACTGATAGAACAGGAGACAAGGAAAATCATTAATTCCTGCAAGTGGAATATCACTGGGGTCCCTAGTGGGACCCATATTTTTCATGACTGATCTTGAAGAAAACCCAGCTAATTAGACTTCCCTTCTAAACTATCATTGTATAAAAAGACCTACAAACCGGATTTGAAAAATACACCTGACGTTGCCAAGCAGGAAATGTTCCATGGTGAGAAGAACAGCCCTAATCCGTCAATTTGCAGAAAAGTGGGGGGATCTGTGTGTTCTTCTAGCCTTTATGGCTGCAAAGATAACTTTCCAAATGTGACACAGAGCAGAGCAAACAGACTGCTCCATCACTTGCTCTGTCTGCTGCTCAGAGCCCTATCAAGCAGCAGCAGAATGAAACTGGCAAGTCTCTGGTCCCTGCTGCTCTTCAGAGTGGGCAGCAGTGAAATCAACAAGATTCATGTCATTTTCACTCCACTGCTGCTTGGCAAAGCTCTGAGCAGCAGCCAGGGCAGGTACTGGGGCTGTTTGCTGGGGAGGAAAATCCCAAAAGAAAGCTGTGGTGATGAGAGATCCCTGTCATGTAGTTCAGGGCTTAAGGTGAGAGAGATCCTTTTCCCTTCTAGCAGGTCAAGGTGTTTCAAATTTCTGACACCTACTATTCAGACTGATGCAAAAGATGCCATTCCTGAGCAGAATCCAGGGCCAGCATCTCAGTAGAAATCCGAACACCTCGCCCTTCCCAGCAAGTGGGAGCACTACTGGACTTCTCACTAGAGTATTGCCCCTGAATCTCTCTAGTGAGCCCTCTGTCTCTATCATTAGCTTTTGTCTCTGCCTCTAGTTAACTTAGTCCTTTGGCTAGCAAGTGCAGGATGAACTTTCCTGTCCCTCCTTAGGAGGAGCAAGTAAGGGAACAGAATATATATAGAACAGACACTAGTCTAAATATCACAAGGAACCAATGCATGAAGGAAGGACTTGAATCTCTGAAGATGGTATTTCAAGGAGCAGTGAAAGGAGGCTATGGAAAGGGATAGGAAAATATTGACAGGAAAAAAAAATTAAGGCGACTGGCCACATCACTGATGTTATTCCAGCACATTAACTACTGCATGAATGGGAATCGCATACGGAGGAAGTTTGCACAATGGAGGATGTTGGGCTGAATGGCCCAAGTGATCTCTTCTGGCCCTTTCAATTTAATTATTTTTACTTTAGTTGGTTAGTGATCCCGTTTTATACATGACTATGCAATTGAGTTGCTATCGTATCAAAGCCTAGAATTCTTTTTACTTTCCATTTCATTGAAGAAACAACATAACTTTTCCTGCAGTAGAGCAGGCTCGGTAACACCAATCATTTTCATGTTAATATGTGGACTAGTATTCTTTACAGCTGTCATCTTTTGTCCTGAAATTTCGACTTGATCGTGCTCTTTCACTAACTAAGATGTCTGGGCTTTTTGTTTTTTCTAGTAATCCACTGTAGATGTTCCAGGTGTTTTTCTTTCCCTTCAAAACGAAGGGTAAGAAAACGGCCTCGAGTCCTGACATTACTGAGTCTCCCTGAAGATGTTCTGTTTCATGTTCTGAAAGGCCTTCCTGCTGAGGATATCCTCTCCATCCGAGCTGTGAGTCTGCTAACCTACTTCACCCCTGTAACGGGATGGGGTTTACCTCTGTCAGTGTGATGCCCTGGCTCCCAATGGCAGGACTGGACACGGGGAAGGCTGGATCCTCATGGCAGAGCAAATCTAACTACTGTATGTATTCTTTCAGTTTTCCTTCAGATCTCTGCCATCGTGGTAGCAGTTTTGTTGCTAAACCTCTCAAGATTGAGGATTAGCAGCAGTATTTGAGTGTTTTGTTTAAATTTTCCAGAGGGAGCTATCCCGACAAATCATTCTGACTGAACAGTTTGGTTCAGTTAAGGATGCTTATCTTATTTTCCAAAATTGACTTTTGTCTAATCTAATTAATTAATGTAAATACATTAATAGTTGTACAAATAGTTGTACAAAAATCTACCAGTGCCATGTTAATATGGCTATAACAGTAGACCACAAGAACGATTTCCGTGGATCCCTATATGTTGTAATAATGTATTTCTGTATTTTTCCCCCTAGGTGCACTCGCATCTTAAGTACCTTGTAGATAATCATGCTAGTGTTTGGGCATGTGCAAGTTTTCAAGAAGTATGGCCTTCTCCAAAAAATCTGAAGATGTTTGAAAGGTAATGTATAGGAATCCAGGCATGGTCTATGCATTAGGGGAGATTTTCAAAGGTGCAGAGGAAAGCTAGGTACCCATTTCCTATTAACTTTCAATGAGAGTTGGACAACAAACTGCGTTTGAAAATGTCCCCCTTAATGTGATTAGGAGCACTCTTAGTTTCCTGTCTACACTTCAGATTGGAACTGTTTTGTTAAGTGGAGCAGGGGGTCATAGTTATATTTGGAGTGTAAATGGATGCTGTGTCTACAAAGTGCTTTACAATCCCCTGATGGAATGTAGTGCATAACCTAAAAGTATTGCTACTGCTTCTCTCTGATATTTGTATATCAATATAAATGTGGACCGAAAGGCTGCACAATTGTGTTTTTTAAAGTATTTTTAAGACTAATATTTGGACTCTTTCCATATTTCAGAATAGGGTGACCAGACAGCAAATGTGAAAAATCGGGACGGGGGTTGTGGGTAACAGGAGCCTATATAAGAAAAAGACCCAAAAATCAGGACTGTCCGTATAAAATCGGGACATCTGGTCACCCTATTTCAAAATGAGTTTAAAAACCTAAAGTTGCAAGCAAACGACTGTACTTTGAAAGAATAAAGACACTCCATCTGAAAAAGATGTGTATGGGTGTTGGCAAAGACAAAACATAAGAGCTGAATCTGTCTGGTGCCTATGTAACCATCCTATGTGCTTCAGAGGTGCAAGTTCTGAATTCTTCAGCTGCATTCTGGAGCTGTGGCCATCTAGTAGAAATGAACATGGAAGCAAGCTCTCCTGCTGCACTGGAATCTTCAAATGATTCAGATGCCCACAGATTAAATCTGAGTTACCTTTTTGTACTCTTATTTAGGGCTGCTGAAAGGGGTAACTTTGAAGCTGCTGTGAAGCTGGGCATAGCATATCTGTACAATGAAGGCTGTAAGTATGAAAGCACGTGCTGTGGAGAAGATGGGAATTGCAGAGGGAAATGATGGTGGAGGGTGTAGTTCTATTTAAAAGAACAAAGAGATTTTATAGTGAAGCCTGATCAATAAGCTTGGATTCTTTTTATTGGCCACATGCCAATCTTTATCCCTACTATTTTATGGATGTTTGGGTTTTTTCTGCCCATGTTATAAGATTGTTAAACACAAAAACACTGTTTTCCCCTCTCATTTCTGAGTATGAGGCAAGGTCTCGCTAATCGATTCCACTCCTAGCTGAAATGTGGATGTGTCTAAATCACACAGTTAGCAGCTCTTGAAGTTAGTTTGGAAGCCTCTAGTCAAATTTGGTTGTCATTTTGCCTGTCAAAAGCTTCACACTGAATCAAGCTGAGGCACTATTCCAACCTTCTTCTGCAACCTGTTACCATTTCTGTGAAACCATCCTGCTAACTGTTGTGCTGTGGCCTTATTAAATTCCAGGCAGATATTATGGATTAGCTTCTGTTCCCTCTTTAAAGCATCTGTTTCACTTATTCAGTATCCATCTCCGATGAGGGTCGTGCAGAAGTGAATGGGTTAAAGGCATCTCATTTCTTCAGCCTGACGGAGCGTCTGAATGTCTGTGCAGCCCCCTTTATCTGGCTCTTTATTCGTCCCCCATGGTCCGTGAGCGGGAGCTGTTGTAAAGCTGTGGTCTATGAGAGCCTCAAAGCAGAGTGTCAGTTGCAGAAAGTAAGTGATGCGCTTTCTGTCAATGGCTTTAGGGCAGGGCAGCACATCCAGGGGAGAGGGATAGCTCAGTGGTTTGAGCATTGGCCTGCTAAACCTGGGGATTGGCCCTGCTTTGAGCAGGGGGTTGGACTAGATGACCTCCTGAGGTCCCTTCTAACCCTGATATTCTATGATCCACCCAGCAATTTGCACAATTACATTTCAGTTTCTCCAAGGAGTATCTTGTTCTCATGCCATTGATTTAGTTGTTTAACCGTTGTTTAAAAATTAAAGTTGATTCAGAGAAAAACTATATGTAGGAGAGGCACTACTTGGTAGCTGTCAAAGGATTGTACTGTGTTTGTTCTGCCAGGTTAATTTCTATCTCAAAAGTGATGAAATATTGAGGGGGGGAGGAAATGGTCTTTCCATGAAAGGCCAAGGGCAAACAAAGCTCTAGCCTTGGACTATTTTGAAAAATTCTCTCATTTTTTGGTTCTCTTTAATAATGTGCAGTTTTAAAACTCTTTTTTTTTTTTTTAAGGCCCAGAAAGGCTCTATTCTCCACTGCTTGGCTAAGGTTTTAAGTCTCTTTGAGGTGAGTAGTGTTCATTTCCCACTAATGGCTTTGGGAATTCTGAAGGTACAATTTTACAATGCAAATTTCCCCTGTGACTTTTCAAATGCTAGATGAGTTGTTATTATCTTCATGTGAGATCAAACCAATTGTTCTTGGTTTCCCCCAGTGTGAAAAAGTCTGTGAAGGCCTTTTCTATTTAAAGGGAAAGTGTCAATTTGAAATCTAATTAAGCTTCAGTTTGGATCAAATCCTGGGCCACAATTTCTGCTGGAGTAAACTTGTGCAGCTCTGTTGACTTCAATGGAACTGTGCCAGTTTACATCAGCTGAGAATCTGCCCCCATGTTTTTTTAAAAATGAGTTGAAAGTAGTTTTAGCTACTAGGCCTGCTTGTTGTGCTTGCACTATGGGAAGCCAGGTAACATCCTTTTGAAACCTGTCACACTGGGTACCAAAGGAAGGGGCAGGCTGGCCACCAGGAAACCTAAATTGCTTTTGACTACCTGAAGAAAGCTGCAAAGTAACTCTTAAGCCAGGGTCTCCAAAAGACAGTGCCAGAGGTCCAGGAAACCATCTTGAACATTTGAAGGATGCTCCCGATGGTAATGGATTGATTCTGTACTGTAGCTTTCAATCTGAGGATGTTCTGTACCACTCGGCGTCTCTGGGGCTTATGTGCCCATCTGACTGGGTACGCACCATATATAACATTTGACCTTTTATTTTCAGGATGAAGAAAAAAGGAAAGAAGCCCTTGAAATGTTTGAAGAGTCTTCAAAGCAGGGTTGCTTAAACAGCTCCTACCTCCTCTGGGAAAGTAACAGAAGAGCTGCTGTGAGTACATTTGGCTCTTAAAATGATCTTTTCACCTCTATTACAGTGGCACCAAGAGTCCCCAACCAAGAATATAGTTCTGTTGTGTTGAGTGCTGTATATACATCCAGCAAGAGACAGCTTACCATCTAAATAGACAAGATGGATAAATGGTGACAGAGGAAGTAATATCCCCATTTTACAGATTGGAAAGATAAACACAGAGAGGCTAAGTGACTTGCCCAAAGTCACACTGGAAGTCTGTGGCCCAATTGAGAATTGAACTCTGATCTCTTTAGTCCCCGTCCAATTCCTTCAATCCAGGATCATCCTTAAGAGAAAGAGACTGACTGTTGTGAGGATTTTCCCACAAACGGCAGAAGAGATAGGAGAAGTGATGCCTTTTGGATAGTAGGAGTACTCCAACCTTCACAAACATTGAACCAAATGGTTATCTCCCCTGGACAAAAGGGGCAATGCCTTCTTAATGCTGTTCATATTCCTTTTCTCTAGATGTCAGATCCCGGCAGATACCTTCAGAGCTTCAGGAAACTAAGGGACTATGCAGCAAAGGGTTGCTGGGAAGCCCAGGTAAGACTTCCACTAGTGACACCAAGACATTGTTTTTTGCACGCCCCTGTCCACACTGGCATAGAAAGACATGGGAGTGTGCTTAAACGTGGATCCAGTGGCTGGCCATTAGGAACAGCGGCTAAAACTCTTCTCAGAAAACACTTAAATGTACTCTGCAAAGTAACCTCTTCTGAAAATACTGCACTTGCACAAAGAAACCTGAGCAAGGGCTCATCTTTAGTAAGCAATCTTTAGCCTGAAGAGCCTGTCCCAAAATCCTGCACGTGTATTGTGTACTACAGTTCTGCCAGCTTTGAAAAATAACTGTTCTTAATGTCTCTGGAGTGAGTCCCATACGCTAGGTTTCACTATATTTTGAATGTGAAAATGACATGAGTTCTCCCAGGATTTCAGTTCAAATTTTGTTTCTCTGTCCAAATGGAAAATAGCTCACTTAATATTTACATTTCCCCTCTTGTCTGCCTGCTGTAGATATCTTTAGCCAAAGCTTGTGGGAATGGAAACCAGCTAGGATTAGAAGCAAAAGCCTCCAATGAGATGGTGTCTCAGCTCTTCCAGGCTTCCCTTTCTGTCAGAAAGCAAAGCATCTTCACTGTGCAGAAGGGAATGAACGAAACAATGAGGTAAAGACAAGCTCAGCAGCCAGGTCTTTGACAAAGAAGTGTGTCTATGACATGGCAAGAAAGGTTGCTACTGTTTCCTTGTGCTTGTTATAGTTCTGTCTGGGGTGAGATGCGACCTATTAGATCATTAAGCTCTTTGCAGAGTTATCATAGTTAGTTCTGGGACACAAGCAGTGAAGTGCAATGCAGAAAAGTTTGTACTTTGTGAATGTCACTAATTGCACAGTGTCCCTGGATAGATCCAGAATGAAAGTGACGCTTATTTTGATAAGTTCATATTTTAAGATGTCTGTCTTACTTGCAATCTGCATTAATTTGCCAGTCTGCCTAAAAAACACCTACCATGGTCCATCAGCCCACAGTTTGACTCCAGTATCTGTCCTATTACCTAGATGCAACAGGACATTTCACTGAAGTCTTGTTTTGATGATCAATATTTTGTTGGCTAGTAACTTTTGAAAGGATAAAAGTCTTGATGTGTGGAGAATCTCTGGTGTTATAGCTGTCACTTAGCACAGGTCTGGATGGCTTTTTACTTAGGAGATAAAAATCAAATGATCCCCTATCTAGGTACATCCTGATTGACTGGCTGGTAGAAGTGGCCACCATGAAAGATTTCTCCAGCCTTTGTCTTCATACGACAGTGGGGTGCGTGGATCGGTACTTGAAGCTGAGACCTGTATCCCGGGCCCGGCTCCAGCTTTTGGGAATCGCGTGCATGGTCATTTGTACACGGTGAGTGTTGATGACTGATGTGCATCAGTGGCAGTGGTTATACAAACTCAGCATTTAGCTATTATGTTCTGCTTTCTCAGCTGCACTAGTGACAGAGCTACAACTGGCCTTCCTTGTCCCTTTACACAGTGACTGCCCTTTGAATTTTGCTCTTAATATTTCCAAATGAGGTACAAAGTGGTGCTGCTGCCACCTGAACACTTATTTAAATGTGCTGGAGGGGCTGGAGCTCTCCATACATGAAGTGCTGTCTTTTGTGTAGAGTAGATGACTAGCATCAGAAATCCTACTAGGAAGCAGGTCAGCACGATCATTCTGATCAGCCCATCTGCCATAAGCGACTCAGAAAAGCAGATTTGTACCTATATCTGTGTTCATGCAGTTTTAATAACAAGTCTTTTCGTGGCACAGAAGTATTGTGTTCCTGGCCTAGTGTGTTATGTGGGACTAATTCCACTACCTCTGCTATTTCAAAGGCTCCAGGGTTTAAACGGAGATGCTGCCAAACAGGAGACTGAATTCCAGGCACAAGGTCTGGTTACTGGTTCTGCAGCCTTTCTGTGGGAATTACACCTGTGAAAACTGCTGCAGGATCTAGGCCTTCGAGTCAGTGATATGATAAAGATGCAGGCCCAGGTTAAAGGTGGCATGGACAGGGCATCGTCTTGTGGGAACACCTGACACTCAACATGACTCTACCTGGTATCTTCCTAAGCTGTACTAACTTCCCCTTCTCCTCGCCTGTGCTGGTGTCTCCATAGCATAGGATATCCATGGATATCTGCATGCAACCAAAACTCAGTGCATGTGGCTCTGCCTTGGGCCTGAGTGCTAACCATCTTTAATATTGCAGCTTCATCAGCAAAGAGATCTTGACAATACGGGAAGCTGTGTGGCTAACAGACAACACATACAAATATGAAGATCTAGTCCGGATGATGGGGGAGATCATCTCTGCCCTGGAAGGCAAGATAAGGGTAAGTTTGTAAAACCAGGGGGTGGGATGCTTACCTTCTTGGGCTGTCCTTTGCTAAGTCATGGAGAGTTGCCATACTCAGTGGTGAGATGCGGATCCTTCTGCTTCTTTGTAGACTAGGCATGTTGCTTTGGGTGTTTCTGGTTTCCTCTGATCCAGCATCCTTTGCTGCTGTGACAGGTGATTGGGTTCTTAATTTGAGTGAGATGTTTGAGGATTGTTTTATGTAATTCTGTACCTGCAAGTACTTGATGCGATTGCACTGTAGGAAGTTAAATTTAAGCCCCTTGAGACCAAGTCCAGAGATCTCATGTATTCCCTCCTTATTGTCTGGGAAACATCTTGATACCACTGGGGTAATAAGAAGCCATCTTTTGTAATGAGCCTCCATGAAAAGGGATGGTCATCTGGGAACAATTCCATTCTGTGTTTGGCAAAACTCTGACAATGAAGCACCAAACTCTGTGTTCTCCCTTATGCATTAGATTCCTACTATTGTGGATTACAAAGAAGTGCTACTGACTATAATCCCCCTGGAGAGAAGAACGCTTCACCTGTACAGCTTTATCTGTGAACTATCACTATTGAACACAGGTCTCTGTGTATATTCTCCTGCCAATCTGGCTGCTGCAGCACTACTACTGGCTAAGATACTGCACAGGCAAGGTAAGGAACAGGCTGCTGCTAATCATTATTTCATAACTGGACCTGCAGGTTCTGCAATGTAGCACGTTCATCCATGCTGTCCCTCTGGATAGCAATCTTTCTGCTTTAGCACCAAGGTATCTACTTGTGCCAGCTTGCCTCAGTCATGTTAAAGATAACAGACACTTCAAAGAAGGATGGGGTGGGTTTGGCACTTTTCCCCAGTAACTGCTGTGTTGAGCTCAAGCATTAGCAGGAGACTTGGGTTTAAGAAATGCCTAAGGAATTTTTACTAGTAATACTACGGACTGGATTACATAGCTAGGAATCTCTAGTTCTGGCACCTGCAGCTGTTGTTGGAGCCTGAAAATTGATTCTGAATTTCGGATGGATTATCTGCTGGCATGATCTTATGTAGGATCTGCTTTATTTCTGCAGTACAGAATTTTGGGTGCTAATGTATTTATTCCCTTCTCCAGCACATCCTTGGAACAGCCAGCTGTCTGAATGCACTGGATTCTCTCTTGAAGACCTGATACCCTGTGTGCTGAGCCTACATCAAAAATGGTATAACTTTCAGAACCTTTCTGAGTAGCTCTAAGAGGTTGGGGGGAGCGTTTGGCATCCAGCTGTTACAGACCTGCAATATAAATCTTAATAATGAAGTTTTGCTAATTAGTTACTGTCTCAGAACTAAGAAGGTGACATTGGAGAGAATATGCCTCACTCCCCACAACACGGGAGAGGTTGAGAGAACTATTGCTGTTGATCCAATTCAGTACCAGCCCCAATGTTCTCTGAATAGTGCCTCTTGGCTCTAGGGGGTATGCGTCTCATTACCAGCAGGCTCAGCCTGCAAAGTCTCCCCTGATTCACAAGGCTGGGACTTGCTTGTCAGCAAATTCAGGAAGATCCCCAGCAGGGCTGGAAGCTCATCTCTGAAGGTGTCTCAAGCGCAGTTGATTTGTCACACCAGAACTGAGGGGAAACATCCTCCAAAGCCATAAAAGAAGGGAGGAATGTTTTTAGGTCAGCAAGTTCTATGAACTTTGTCCTTTCCAATGTGCTCTTGTAAGACCTGTGCTGTGATTTTCTTTCTTCCTAGTTTCCATGATGATGTCCCAAAGGATTATAGGCAGGTGGTGTTGACTGCTGTGAAACAACGATTTGAAGATGAGCGTTATGAAGAAATTGGCAAGGAAAAGGTGGGGAGTAGCCTTACTGTTCTGCTCTCCATTCTTTGGTGGCAAGCACCTTAAGCAGAGTGACGAGTGTAGTAGGCTATCCAGTACTCTGAAAAGTAACAAGAAGGTCAAATTAAAAATCCCAAAGGGGGAAGGTGAAGAGAGTGCAAGAAATGCAGTAGTGTTAGCGTCACTCACCTTGTGGGGATAGAAGTTGCACAGTTGGGCTGTAAATGCCAAGGAGCAGTTCAAGACATATTGATCCTAGAGAAAGTATCGGGCATTTGGTTGTTGGGAGGGCACTGCTGTAGTTGTCTGACTAGATCGTCTTGTTGTTTAGGTGATGAGTTACAGCCAGCTCTGTTCGCTGTTAGGAGTGAAACAGGAGGACCCAGAGCCCAGTCCCTTACACACAAGTGCTGAGGAAATTCAGACGTTCCTTAGCTCTCCCTCTGGAAAGAGAACTAAAAGGCAAGTAAAACTAAGCTCTGTTCTGTGTACTTTCTCCTGTGTTTGCAACCACTGGACCTGATAATTCAGTATGGAGTTCACTCATGGGCATCTGACGGGGGGGTCTTTTGCCTCCCCAAAACATCATTTGTGTGCAAATCACTGAGTGGGATTTTAACCAACTTCCCTGCTCTGAGCTGCAATTCTCTATGGATTCAATCAGTCCTTGCCCTGGTCACCTTAACTCTGCTTAGCCTCTTCCTCTGGATGGCTGGAAGGGAAAGTTTGGGTTTCATGCCATGGTGAGACTCGCTGACCAAACCAAATGACCAGTTGTATCTTTAGCATTCGCTGGAAGAGTTGAATGAGGCAAATGGGCAGAGACTAGCCTGTTTTCTGATTCAGGATGATTTCCTCCATGTATATGCTGAGTGAGTAACCTCTGAGTTTCCCTGCAACAGGAGAAGGGAAGACAGCATTCAGGAAGACAGGGGCAGCTTTGTGACTACACCCACAGCTGAACTATCCACGCAGGAGGAGACCCTTCTGGACAACTTCCTGGACTGGAGCTTGGACTCCTGCTCGGGTTACGAAGGAGATCAGGAAAGTGAAGGGGAGAGAGAGGGAGATGGTAAGTGGTGTATTTTTCTTCTTTGATTACAATAGGGAAAAACCAAATTTTCCCATCTGCAGCTTAACAAAATCAGGTTACTCTTGCCAGAAAAGTGCAAACTCTTTCAGAGGGACAGCAGTCACTGAAGGAAGGTCCTTTTTTTCTTGTACCATGGTGATTATCTTTACACCACAGCCTGTAGCAGCAAAATGTTTCCTGATGATAGATGCCAAAATCTCCTTGTCCAGGGGGGAGGGGGAAGGGATGGCTCAGTGGCTTGAGCATTGGCCTGCTAAACCCAGGGTTGTGAGTTCAATCCTTGAGGGGGCCACTTAGGGATCTGGGGCAAAATCAGTACTTGGTCCTGCTAGTGAAGGCAGGGGGCTGGACTCGATGACCTTTCAGGGTCCCTTCCAACTCTGAGATTTAAAAAAAAAATCCATTTGCAATGCTGCAAAATGTTTGGCTATAAGACTTGTAGAGCTCTTGCTCAATGGCTGCAGACTCTGGAATGCAGAAAATGGCAGATAGCATTACTGTGTATTGTCTGTACTGCTACCAGATAGCACTGGGCATTTTGAATCACTTGGTGGGTGAAGGAGAGTCCTCCTGGCTGCATATTAAGGAGTTTTGCTGCTGTCATAATCCAGGAAAAGCTATTGAAGGAATCTGGCTGTAGCCAGACATGTGGTGGATGGAGCCCTGTCAACACTGCAGCTTATCCTGTTTGTTTTATTAGTGCTGTGACTTAAAGCTTTTTATACCATGTCCCCTGTACAAGCAACTATTAGAACATACCTGTGGAATGAGGAGGATTCCCCACTTTACTCAAGGGAGAAATCAGAGCTTGTGTGTTGACTTTCTCTAAAGCCACAGAGGAAGTTAATCGCTCAGGATTAGAGATCTTGAGTTCTGGCTCTGACTTCTGTGCTCTGACTACATTGCTGCTCAGGTAGATCCAAATCACTCTTCTATATCTTCCTCTAGTGACAGCTCCCAGTGGAGTCTTGGATGTAACTGTAGTCTATATGGATCCAGCAGAGCATTGCTGTCAGGATTCCAGTGATGAAGATAGCCTAGCTGCAGAATGGCCTGGACAGGATGTACCAGCGAGGAAGGCGGAGCAGCCAGATGCTGAGAAACAGCGGCTTGCTGGTCACTGTCAAAAAGAACCCATACTAGAAGCCACCTCAGGCTATTCATCTGTCCACAGTGCCAGTCCTACTTCCTCTGTAGATGGCAGCTTTGGAGCACCGATCAAAACTACCTCAGCACTGTCTCTGGGCAGTGCCATGAACAAAGGGCCATACCTGCCTCACTACTTGAAATCACATTTACAATCTGTCCGCCCCAAGTCCACTGAGGGCAAGTGTGAGAGAAGGCAAGTCAAACGGAAAAACGTGGCTGAGCATAGTGAAGAAGAGAGGATGAACTTGGGCTTCTTGAGCCTCTGATTTCAGTGCTGTTTACTTTCATTTCAGAGGGCTCCTGGAAACAGTATTTTGGTGTAGTCCTTGCAGGGAAGGTAACAAGTAATTGTCAGTAGCAGGCGCCACCCCCCCAAGACGGCCCATGCCAATCATGCTCTGCAAGCTCCATTTCATGCTTCTATGGCTTAGTGCTGAGCCACCTTGTTTCTTGGTAGCTGCTTTTTAAAATGTTCCCCATAGTCTGATCCTATGCAAATTAAGAACCCCGCCTGGTCTCAAGCACATGTAAAGAAAACCTAGACCCCTGTGTGCTACTCAAAGCCATTTTGATTTTTCCCTGCAATGCATTGCCCAATGGGTAGCTGATTCCTCTGCAGAGGAAGAAAGGGAAAAATAAAACTCTGCTGCTATGACCTATTCTTCCCCATACACTGTCATAATCCAGGAAATGCTCTTGAAGGAACCTGCCTGTAGCCAGCCATGAGGTGGAGCACTGTCAACACTGCAGCCCCTCCTGTTTGTTTTATTAGTGCTGTCTGACGACTCCCTTATCAGATTATTTGTGCCTGAAGCTAAAGCCAGGTGTTAGCTCACTCCCAGTTGGTACCCCCATTTACTCTCTGGACATTAACTACACTGCCCTAGGGTCTATTCTGGAACCAAGCAAAGGGTGGTAGTGGTAAATGGGGATACTTACTTTAACAGACTGGAGCTTTTAAACATCCCTTCTCTGGGGCAGGCTCTGGGCCTTATTTTCCTTCCATTAGTCCTACACTGCTGTAGCTCCAGTCAGCTCACTCACTCACACAGCTGTCAGTCAGGCGCTCCCTCTAGCTCCATGTGTTTGCTCAAGTGAAGAACATCCCACCTGTGCCTTACCACTTCACTGCCTTTTGCCTTTAGTTACAGCACCAGTGGTGCAGTCTGCAAGAACTCAGTCCCAGTGTCATTGTTGTGTTCTGGCTGTATTGCAGTTTGTCTTCCTTGCTATTCTTCCAAAATGGCCTCCAATAGATGCTGAGTCTACTTTCATGTTTGAATTTACTTTGAACGCTAGAACAGAGGCAGCAGTGTAACAACCCTTCTCCATGAAGCCCTATTTGCTATTATCTTAGACACCTCTCCGTGGCATCCCAGTCAGCAAGGAAGAGCTGATGTCTTTCCCACAATACTGGATAAAGGATTCTATGCTTTATGCAGTGTGTGGAAGCTGTACAAGAAGAGCAAAAGCCCTAAGAAGCTGAGGGACTAGAGGCTACTTTACCCATTGACTTAGTTGTTACTAGAGGGGCTGACCCTCTGGAACAGATGGTGAGAACATACCCTGGTACAAGACTTCTGGCAGCTGTTTGTCATGCTCAGAATCTGATAACACTGGAACTGTGCTCCCTGTTTACTTTCCTTTGTTTAGAAATTATTGGGGCAGAGACAATGACTGTTCACATACAGTGTAGTGACTTTTGTATAAAACAATTTTTTTTTATGCTTGTCTCTTATTTTAAAAAAACAGGGGTAGTGCTTGTGTTTGATAAAGGAGCTGATTGTAAAGGGGTTGTGATAGACAACTTTCTCCCAACAGTGACATGCCTCAAGGCATAGAAAGGTGAAGTGACTTACTCAGAGTGTTACAATGTCACTGGCAGGAGCCTCAACTCAAGTCTGTCACCTGTTTCAAGTTACTAGATAAGGCTGTTGGTTATAGCTGATCCATGGTCTCTACCACTAATACTGTTACAGAACAGATATTAGCAGCTGCAAACAGTGGCTTATTTTCTACAGCTATCAGCTTGAGCATTTACAGATTGAAAAGCAGCAGTTTATCAAGCAAGATGCTATTGTCACTTTCACAAGCTGGATTTGAGAATACTGCATCTCTAGGAGGCACATAACTTACAAAGCCTGGCTTCTTCCAGATCTTGAGCTGCTCTCCTACAACTAGCCTGATTGTTTAGTAGGTGGATCATAAAGCTGGAATGTAGAGAAGCAGGGTTCCTAAGGCACTTTCCCTCATCTGTCAAGGTGCAGTGGAACTGGTTCAATTTCTAGTCTGCAACTGTAAATAACCTCACCCTCCTTGTGTAACAGCTAGTCATCTACAATTCCTGACTCTTATATTTCCTCATTCCCTCCATAGTAACCTACTAAAGGAAAAAAATGCTACAAAGAGTTGGAAATTACGATCTGGAACAGGTTGACAAAGCAGGTGATTACACTGACTTAGGATGTAAAAACCTAGCTTTACACCCCCCCAGGAGCCCACCTCCTCCATAGCAGTTAAGTGCTTAAATACTTTTGTGGATCTGGGCCAAAAGTCAGTAGCCAGGCATTCTATTAAGGCTCTTCCAACCACCCAGACAAATGGGAAAACCAGTAGATTTTAGCATGCGGCTCTATCCCTGCAGAGCTTCAAAGCCTAAGCACATTGTGTTAGCAATTCTGATCACAATGGGAAGTAGGGAATCAATTCTGAAGCCAGAAGTGGGGACTCTGACAGGTACTGAGATGGCATTTGCAGCAGTTACACCACTGGTTCTCAAACTTTTGTACTGGTGACCCCTTTCACATAGCAAGCCTCTGACTGCAACCCTCCTTATAAATTAAAAACACTTTTTAATATATTTAACACCATTATAAATGCTGGAGGCAAAGTGTGGTTTGGGGTAGAGGCTGACAGCTCATGACCCACCCCCATGTAATAACCTTGTGACCCCCAGTTTGAGAACTCCTGAGTTACACTTACAAGCAGAAAGGCCACAACTTTGTTTTTTTACTGACAGCTTAAGGGATGGTGGGAGATGTGACCTGCACACATTTCTACAGAGGTGGATTTCTTGTGGTCCTGTTAAATACCTTTGGCTCCTTCCTCTCTAGGGAGTGAGGAAAAGCTTTTGACCCCAGATCTCATGTAGGCAGTAGCACTACGCTATATGTATTAGTTCTACTTAAGTCTTCAGGGCAGGGGACTGCATTTGAAAGTAGTGTTCACTGGAGACAATTACTCTGGCCCATGCATGTAGGGCTTATAGCTGCATCAGTTGGTAGTGAGTTCACATAAGGAACTCCTAGCAGGGAAAATGCAGACTAGAACTATACAAAATAATTGTGCAGCTTATGGCTCAAAGGAACATTATGTCAATGACTCTCACATGAAAATGGCATGTATCTGACCTCACGGGGAGCCAGCCTGCATTGTTTCTGAGCAAGGGTAACAGCGTAAAGATAAACCTCAAACCACATGAAAAACCTAGCTTCCTTATCATCTCAAAGGGGTGTAGACAAACCCCAGCAAGGCTAACTGACTTGTTCAAGGTCACACAGCTAGTCAGGCAAATCCAGAAACTTTTCAGGCCTCTGCTCTTACTTGCCCATGTTCCCTCTTGTATGGCTCCTGATCATTTGCTCCCCTGTAACAACGTAACAAATTAAATCTCTTGTAGAAAAATAAGGTAGCAAAGGCCAGTCCTAGCAAGTTTCCCTACTGCGTCACAGCTGGAGCCTGGCTCCATCTTCCACAAGGCAGTGTCAATCCAGCCTTGGAGGAATGTTGGCTTGAGCAGAGGTTGAAGAATGAGGGTTTTATTAACAGGGCCCCTCTGCTGCAGGCTCCCAGGCCATTGCTGCAGGAATCTTTACTCAGCTTATTGAATGGGGGAAATTTCATGACTCACACACTTGGTGCTTTGTAGCATAACCGGCTACTACAATTTCCTTCCAATTAGTTTTCAGGGAAGACAACCTAGTCTAGTGGTTTGAGCATGAGGAGACAGGAGTTCTCTTTCCAGCTCTGCTGCTGAGTCACTGCCTGTGAGCTTAGCCAAGTTACTTCACCTGGGTGCCTCCACTTCCTCATCTGGAAGCATGCCCTCATTGGTAAAGTGCTTTGAGGTCTGATGAAAAGGTATTGTAGATGCCAAGTAGGATTATTTAAATAAAGAGCCTACATGCCCTGGATCAACATAGAAAACAGAGCCTTGGGATCCATCCACAAAGCATTTATTACAAAAAAAACAATGTTTATTAGGCAGGATACAAACATTTAAAACCCCTGATTTCTTTTCCCTTCACCGGGCTCAGTCTGTGTCCCTATGGCAACGCTCCCAGTTGCTAGGTAGTTCCAAACGGTGGTTGGGGCAGCCATCTGCCAAGCAGGGGTTTAGTCTTCACATTAGCTGGAGCTCATTAAGCTACAGCACTGGCTCAAAAGTCAGCTTTCTAAAAATCACTGTAAAAGCCCTAAAAACAATCCCTATCAAACCCCCAGGGAAATCTAGAACAGGTGTGTAATGAAGGACTGCAGGAGCTGGCTGCCCCAGAGCAGGGCCCTTCCAATAGGTTAAACCTCTCACAGTTTTAGTCAGTTTCTTGAGATCTGAAAAGCCACAAAGAACAACATAAATCAGGATGGAGCATGACCAGCCCCTTCTACTCTGTTACTCAGTGCCAGTGCTGTTGGCAGTGCCACCTGGAGCCAATTTACTTGGGTCTGACTCTAAGCTGAGACAAGGGCCAAGTCTCTATGTGAATTGGTTAGATTGTGCTAGGGCTGAATTTGGTTCGATACCTTGGTGGCTACCAACAAATTTTACAGCCTCCAAGATGGGAGAGACATTTTAGCCAGCACAGATTTAGGTGGACTTGACCAGCCGTGTGCTGCCTGATGTAGCAAGACCACATCCTCTACCCACTTTAGATCCCAAGGTGATGGACACCACAGAGAGACCCAAGGGCAGAAGCAGGGCTGGTCCTACTGATATGGGCTTAGACTAGCCATGGGAGCCTCTGAAGGTGGCAAATTGTCAGAACTCAGCAAAACTAGAGCTACACCTATGCCTCCAAGGAGGGGACGGAGTGAGTGTTCACTGCTCAGTCAGCGTCCCTGAGAAAGCGGAGCTCTAGGAGCCTGCTTCGATGGACGAGCATGGCATAAGGCTGGGCAGCTCTCTACCTAAAGGCTGTGCACATCTTCATTCCTCCTACCCAGAAAGGGCTCTGACTCAACAGTCTGCGAGCCGCAGGGACACAGAGAGAGGCAAAGCCAATCTGGCCAGGTTAGGCACATTTGGCATCAAAGAACAGTGCCACAAATTCTGATCTTGCTCCAGCCTTTGGGAACAGCCAGCCAACCA